TGGTGTAGTCCGGTGGTCGGCAAACTCATTAGTCAACAGAGCGGCAAACCACTGACCTAAACACTCGTCTGCTGAATGGATGGATGAAGGAATGCAGGGGCCAGCCAGAGGCCCCGGCTCCTCTGACTGAGCTCCGGCTGACCTCGCAGTCCTCTGACGGAGCCACGTGGACTCCTCGGCCTCAACGTTCCCCATCTGTGAAGTGGGGCCACCGCTCCTGCTCGGACCACTCCGAGGCCACCGGCCTTAGAACGCCACGGCCGAGGGAGCCCAGCAAGCCTCCCGCCCACGCCCACCCTGCCCGTGGGCAAACGGGGGCCTGGAGGAGGCCTGGCCAGGCAGCCGCAGCCGTGACGAGCTCCCTGCCCCAGCCGGACCCTCCAGCAGGCCTCGCTCCCGCGCTGCACCCCGAGCCTCGGAAAACCTGAGTCACAGCTGGAACGGAGGACGGGGAACTTCCCCCTCACTTCCAGGGGCCTCCGAACCCAGCTCGCTGTGTTTTTTGGGGGGGAAGGGGCTGTGTGCCCCAGCCTGCCCTGGGCACCGCGCTCAGGCAGGAGGAAGTGCCCATCTGGGCTTTCCCGGAGCGAGGAGTGTGAGCGAGGGGGGATGTGTGTGGCCCAGCACAGCCCCACCCCTCCCCCTGTCCCCACCCCAAACCCCTTAATGAAATCAAGCTGGCCCCGCGGCAGGGAGGGAGGGAGGGAGGGAGGGAGAGAGGGAGAGGGGGCGGGCGGAGGGCGGGGCGCCGGCCCAGAGCAGCCCAGCGGCGGGCACTGGCACTGACTCGCTCTCCTCCACCTGGCGGGAGCCCAGGCCTGTGAGCGGAGGGACTGGTGAGTCGGGGTCCCCCCCGCCCCCTCCTCTCCTCTGTCCCCGAAGCCCAGACGGACGTGTCTTGGAGTTTAGGGACCGGGGCCGGCCGGCCGGAGGGCTCTGGGGGCGCATCTGTGAGTGTGTGTGAGTTTTGAGGGGCTGTTGGGTGCTGTGTACGTGTGTGATGTGCTGGGGTGAGGGGTGCGGGACGAGGGTGCCCCTGTGTGCTGGCGTGTGCTGTGCGTGTGCCGTGCGTGGGCACCGCGGCCTGGCCACGGGGGACGTGTTGTTCCTGAGAGCGGACGCCCAGGAGGGTGCCCCCAGGGTCGGCGGGGGGTGGCGTGGCTGGGACCATCCCGGCTGGTCTGGGGGGGCCCATGGGGGACGGGGTTGTGATGTGCACGGGCTGTCGGAGAATCAGCCCGTTGTGTGTTGTTGTGTGTCTGTGCTGGCGGGCCCCGTGAGCTCTCGGGGGGCCTGATGGTGAGTCTGTAGCTTGTGAGCATGGATTGTGTGTCCATGCTGCCGCTGCTGTGTGTGTGTGTCTGTGTGTGTGTGTGTCTGTGTGTGTGTGTGTGTGTGTGTGTGTGTGTGTGGTATGAGCCTCCAGGGTCCCCATCCCTCCCAGGCCTCCCTCCAGGGCCCTGGTCTCTGCGTCCGTATGTTGTGTATATGGATTGTGTGTGCATGGTGCCGCCGCTGTGTGTGTGTGTGTGTGTCTGTGTGTGTGTCTGTGTGTGTGTGTGTGTGTGTGTGTGTGTGTGTGTGTGTGTGTGTGTGTGTGGTGTGAGCCCCAGGGTCCCCATCCGGCCCAGGCCGCCCGCAGGGGCACGGCGCTCAGCCAGCCCCTCCCCCAGGGCCGCTAATTGGAGCCAGGCCTCCCGGGCTGCCCTCCCCTCGGCGGGGACCAGCTCTGGGTGGGGGTTGAGCGGCTGCCATGGCCCCTCGGCCTCGGGTCTGGGGGTGCCTAAGTCTTAGGGGTGGGTTCGCGTCCTCGGCCTCCGCTGGGCCATCCCATTTGAAAACGATAAACCCTGTGACGGCTCTAAAGAGAGGCCCTGCCGAAACCGGCTTGGCTCAGTGGATAGAGCGTCGACCTGTGGACTGAGAGGTCCCAGGTTCGATTCCGGTCGAGGGCATGGACCTCGGTTGCAGGCACATCCCCAGGGCGGGGGGCGGGGGTTGCAGGAGGCAGCTGATCAATGCTTCTCTCTCATCGATGTTTCTGATTTCCTGTTCCTCTCCCTTCCTCTCTGTAAAAAATCAATAAAATATTTTTAAAAAGAGAGAAAGAGAAAGAGAGAGAGAGAGAGAGAGAGAGAGAGAGAGAGAAAGAGAGAGAGAGAGAGAGAGGCCCTGCCCTCAGAGGGGGTCCCGGCCCTCCTGGGGCGCCCCCTCACTTACCCCTCCTGTGCTCTGCGTGCTGCTGTCTGGTCAGACAATGGTCCCAGAGATGGCTTCTCCCCACTCTGCAGACGTGGAAACCCAGGCCCGGAGATGACCCGGGGACATGCTGGGCTCGGTGCAGGGCGACCCCGGTCCCTCCGCGTCAAACCGGACGGTGGGCCTGCCCCCGGCTGGTAGTGGCCATGGGTTCCCGGGTGTTGGATCACAGTCGGGCCCAGGAAGGAGGGAGGGCAACGGATGGGCTGCGGCCGTTTCAGGAATGCCCAGGCCAGCACGCCCATTCCACAGATGGGAAACTGAGGCCCGGAGAGGGCAGCGTCACACCGCGGTCACTGAGAGGCCCAGCCAGCCCCACACTTTGCCTGCATATTTCCTGGGGGCCAGGCGGGGTGGGGGGGTGTGGGGGCTTCTGAGAGCCAGAGGTAGTTTGTGTGGCCTCTTTCTCTATCCCCTGTCCCCCTCACTCCAAGTCTTTGGATAAGGGAGCACTTTTCTCTGTCCAGCTCTCTGCTGTGAGTCTGTGCATGCGTGCATGTATGTATGCCTGTGCGTGCATGCGTGTGTGTGTGTGTGTGTGTGTGTTCCTAGATTCCTCGGAGATCAGACTTTAGGAGATTTCACCCAGCGAGGTAAGACAGCCAGCCGGTCCTGGAGGTGGGGAGAGATTGAGCAGATGCCCACCTCGGTGAGGACCATCATTCGCTGACTTCTGTGGGGAAATGCTGGCTGCCCCTGGAGCTCTGCCGGGAGTGTCACCTCCCCAGCATGCCCCCAGTTTACAGACGGGGAGAGCGAGGCCCAGGGAGCCGAGATGGAGCCCGGGTTTTAATCCGGCCTCACGGGCCTCCCCGCTCTGCAGCCTGCAGGCCTGCAGCGAGGGGACCCCACAGGCAGCCCCTGGGAAACCCCTCTCTTCAGCCGCCACTGGCCACGGCTGAGGTCTGCGGTGAGAGGTCAGCTGCCACCGTGAGAGGTCTCTCCGGGGGCTGGATGCGGGCAGAGGCAGGGTGGGGACTGCCCAGACCCCGAGGTCAGAGCTGAGTAGGACTTTTGCTACCAGTGCCAGTGAGAGGGGGGCCGAGTTCACGTAGCATCTCAGGTCTCTTTCCAGCTACAAGTGATGTCAACCGGGGAGCGTGAGGCCAGCCCGGCCCGAGATAGATAGATAGATAGAGAGATAGATGATAGATAGATAGATGATAGATAGGTAGATAGATAGATGATAGATAGATAGATGATAGATAGATAGATGATAGATATATAGATGATAGATAATAGATTATTGATAGATAGATAGATGATAGAGAGATAGATGATAGAGAGATAGCTGATAGATAGATGATAGATAGATAGATAGATGATAGATAGATGATAGATAGATAGATGATAGAGAGATAGCTGATAGATAGATGATAGATGATAGATAGATAGATAGATAGATAGATGATAGGTAGAAATGGGACACTTGGGTCACACAGAAGATTCAAACCCCAGCTCTGACACGTATCGTCTGTGCATACTTGAGCAAATCACTGTCTGTCTCTGAACCTCCATTTCCTCCTCTGAAAACAGACGGTGGCAACCAGCTCACTAGCAATGACCCCTGAGCAGTGTTGCACCTTCTTTTTCTAAAATATATTTTATTGATTTTTTACAGAGAGGAAGGGAGACGGACAGAGAGCTAGAAACATCGATGAGAGAGAAACATCAACCAGCTGCCTCCTGCACACCCCCCACTGGGGATGTGCCTGCCACCAAGGCACATGCTCTTGACCGGAATCGAACCCGGGACCCTTGAGTCTGTAGGCCGACGCTCTATCCACTGAGCCACACCGCTTAGGGCAGTGTTGCCTCTTCTTACGTCCTGGAATTATCTCTTGTTTCTGCTCTCTGAGCCACTTGGTCCAGAGTCATGTCCACACAGTTCACGTCAATGAATGGCGCTCTCATTACTTCCATTGAGAGGCCCCAGCTTGCTTGGAAAAGCCGCTCAATGGCCTGGCGTCATTCCTCCCTCGTCTCCCTCGCCCCCCAGGTCGCCGTGAGGCCGGTACATCCCCCGTTTAATGAAGCGGGGCTTCTGGCCCAGGCACCACGGGGGCCTGCAGCCAAGGGCTGGAAACCTGACTTCCTTCTCCAGCCGGGGGACTTGCTGTGTGGCTCTGGGCCTGCCCCTCGCCCTCTCTGGGCCTCTGTCCCCCCGTCTGTTCCCCGAGAGCCTCAGACACGATCCTAAGGCTTTTCTATCTGGGAGCCTCTAGCCCCCTGCCCATGCCCCCCAGTGTCAGGGTCCTGGGCCCTCCACCGGGTCAGGATGGGGTTCTCAGGGGGGTGACCTGGGGGCCACAGAAAGGGGTCCCTGGGTTAGTCTGAGCGCCCAGCCCCACTCAGGCTGGCGGGGAGGGTCAGGAAGCCGGGGCCATGAGGAACGTATCAGCTAGCCCGCTCTCTGGGCCAGACAGGGTCTGAGGGGTCCTGTTGGGAGCTGGTGAGGTGCAGGGCTCAGCTGGTCCCCACTTAGCGGCGGGATCCAGGCTCCAGTGGGTAGCAGGGTTACCCTGCCGCCTCCAGGGCCTGCCCTGAGCCCTGAGGGGAAGTTAGCGCGGGGCAGGTGCTCCTGGCATGCTCCTGGCATGCAAGTCCTCTTCTGAGCTTCACAACCTATGACTCTTCCCAAAAAGCGAAGGGGACCCCAGAGGGGCGAGGGGCCGCCGGGGAGGGCTCCCCGTAAGAGGGGTGAGGGGGTCCGCTGACAGTGACTCAGTTTCTCACTCACTCAGCCCTGCCACCTTCAAGCCCCTGTTCTTCCTTGGCACGCCACGGAACCCCGTCTGAGCCTCAGTTTCCACACCTGGAAAATGGGCGAATAACAGGACCTCCCCTGTCCCCATGTGGCAGTGAGAAATTCCATGTCATAAAAGGCAAAATAAGTACCTGGCACGTGGCAAGCAGAAAAAGGCTAAGTTGTTGCTATTAATAACAGGTCAGTCAAGGTACATTTATGGATACCAGGTACGGGGGGCCAAACCCCCCAGGATGCCGAGACAAATAAGATTCAGACCCAGCTGAAACCAGGTCTGGCTCAGTGGATAGAGCGTCAGCCTGCGGACTGAAAGGTCCCGGGTTCGATTCCGGTCAAGGGCATGCATGTACCTTGGTTGCGGGCATATCCCCAGTAGGGAGTGTGCCAGAGGCAGCTGGTCGGTGTTTCTCTCTCATCGATGTTTCTAACTCTCTATCCCTCTCTCTTTCTCTCTGTAAAAAAAAAATAAAAAAAATAAATCAACAAAATATATTATTAAAAAAAAAAAAGATTCAGACCCAGCCCTCCTGGACCTCAGAGCGGAGTGGGGATGGGGAGGGGGGGGGCGCTGTGAACCCCACCGAGGAAGGCACGGGGGTCCTTTGTCCCCTGGGGAGGCTCAGGCCTGAGGAAGGAAGTGACTCCGTATTCCCTGCACCTCCTCGGGGGTCGCCTCAGACGCCGAGTCCCCCCCTGACCTCCCTCCGCCTCGCCCCCCCCCCCCAGGTCCCGGGCAGCACGGCTCTGCCATGGCCCCCCGCCTCGTCCTGCCGCCACCGCTGCTGCTGCTGCTGCTGCTTGCGAGGGCCCTGCCCGCCGCCGCCCACTCCGTGCCCGTGCGGGTGTCCTTCCTGGAGGACCTGGCGGGCAGCGGGGAGGCCGACGACGCCTCGGCCGCCTCCCCCAGCCTGCCGCCGCCCCGGACCCCGGCCCTCAGCGCCACGCCGGGCCCCGGGCCCACGCCCCCCGCGGGCCCCCGGCCGCCCACCAACTTCCTGGACGGCATCGTGGACTTCTTCCGCCAGTACGTGCTGCTCATCGCCGTGGTGGGCTCGCTGGTGCTGCTGCTCATGTTCATCGTCTGCGCCGCCGTCATCACCCGCCAGCGGCACAAGGCCTCCGCCTACTACCCCTCGTCCTTCCCCAGGAGGAAGTACGTGGACCAGCGGGACCGGGCCGGCGGCCCCCGGGCCTTCAGCGAGGTCCCCGACCGGGCCCCGGCCGGCCGGCCCGAGGAGGCCCTGGACTCCTCCCGGCAGCTCCAGGCCGACATCCTCGCCGCCACCCAGAACCTCCGGTCCCCGGCCAGGGCGGCCCCGGGCGGCGGGGCCGGGGGCACGGAGGCCAGGCCCGAGGGAGAGCAGCCGGGCGGCCAGGAGGAGGAGGAGGAGGAGGAGGAGGAGGAGGAGGAGGACCGGGACGCCCTCGGGCGTGGGGTCCCCACGGAGAAGCCAGGGGTGACGGAGGGGCCGTGCTCGGGGCCGGCAGAGGGCGTCCTGGGGGCCCCAGAAGGCCCCGGGGAGCCAGAAGCGGCTCCCTCGTCGTCTGCCCCGGAAGCCGGGGACCCAGCCGGGCCCCCCCAAAGCCCCTGTGCGTGTGGCAGGGTCACTCCTAGCGTCTAACAGGCCCCCGGGGCTGTGGCCCTGACTGTCAGACCCTTAGGGGTCCCCTCCCGGGCCTCCCCCCCAGCTGCCAATCCCTGCGTGTCCCCTCCCGCAGCGAACAGATCCTGGTGTCCGCGCCGCCCGGGACTCTCCCCGAGTTCTAGGACACTTGCCTCTGCAGCCCCAAAGGGCCACGCCCCAAGCACAGCTCCCGTGGGGAGGCGGGGCTGGGGACGTGGCCCCCCTTTCAACCACGCCGATCGATCGGGGAGCACGCTCGGCGGGTCCCCTGGGACAGGGCCAGCATCACCATCGAGGCAGAAACGTACACCGACCAGCTAGGAGCTTTGGAAACTGTCACCGGGAGCCGTGGAAGTGGCCGGGGGAGGCGGGGGCGGCTAGTGCAACGGCAGAAGTGGGCCCCTCACCTGCTCACCTCCTGGCAGGTACGAAAAGGAGCATTTCCCAAACTGGGTTCCCTGCGGTACCCTGACAGGTGCGGGGGGGGGGGGGGGGGGGGGGATGAGCGTTTCCCAAACTGGGTTCCCTGAGGCACCCTGTGGAAAAAAACGGTGTTGGCGTCCAAGGAATTGAGGAAACGCTGCCTCTCGACTCCCCGCACCCCCGCCTTCGGCCACGCCAGGGCTCCAACTAGTCCTGCAGTCAAGGCCCCGTGGAATCCGGTTTCTGGTGTCACAGCCTTTCCCAAACTGCTTTTGACCAGGGAGAGCTTTCGTTATTATTATTGTTGCTGTTATTATTATTTTTTAGCTGCAGTGGAAGCTGCTCCAGGGCACACTCTGGGAATGACTGTTCCGGAAGGTGCTCGCAGCATCTGGTTGGTCTGGCTGTGGGGTGTGGGGGCTCGGCCCGCCACCTCCCTGGGGATGGGGTGAAAGAACGAAACCTTATTGTCAGGCTCCCAACGCAGCCCCGAAGCCTGGGGCTCTGAGTGAGGAGACCTCCCTCGGGGGGAGAGGGTGGTCTCTGACGCCTGGCCTGGAGCAGGGCACCCCGTCCTCCCTCCCCTGCACCTCTTACCCCCCCCCCCCCCGCCCCCCGCCTCTGCTCAGACTCGGCGTCTGGCAGCCTGTGACCACAGCTGCTTTAGTCTTTGACCAGGGAGTTGAGCTCCGTCCTGATGTGATTTGGGGAGGCTGGGGGGGGGGGTCCTCTTCCTCATTCCTCCATCTGGGGTCCCCCCACCTCTGCACACCTTTCCAGGTGCTGAGCTGTAGCAAACCAGCACAATAAATGTTATCCCGGCCTGAGTCTCGCTGCTTTTCTGAAGGGGGGGTGAGGGGTGGGCACCAGCGCCCCGGGGAGATGGGGCGCTGCTCCTGGGCCGTCCCATGGGGTGGGGCAGCTCTCTGGGGAGACACATCATTGGGGCTCCAGGGGCTGAATCAAGTGGGGAAGGGAGGCAAGATGGGTGTCCCCAGGGCGGAGACTGGCTCTGACGTTGGCCACGGTCCAGGTTCCATGCGTGGGAGCCCCCGACCGAGGCGACATGGGGGGGGGGGGCGGGGGGCGGGGGGGGGCGGGCCCCCAGCGGAGGCTTCCGTTTCCCATCCCCCCGCAGAGCGGCTGAGGCTGGGCGGTCCGGAGGCCATGCCACGCTCCCCGCACAGCACCCTCCCTGGCGCCTGGGGTTGGAGGCGGCGGCCCTGGCCTTTGTCTCCCGCCTTTGATGGCAGGTCCCCGTGGCCACGGCTCCCTCTGCCCGGAGCTGCCAGCTGGGCTCCAGATGTGGCCGGGCTGGGAGCTGTGCCGGAGCCCCGGGGTGATGGGGGCAGGGAGGCCATCCCCCAATGGCCCTCTCCTCCTGCTCCTCCTCCTCCTCCTCCTCCTCCTCCTCCTCCTCCCTTCTCCTCCTCCTCCTCCTCCTCCTCCTCCTCCTCCTCCTCTTCCTCCTCCCTTCTCCTCCTCCTCCTCCCTCCTCCTCCTTCTCCTCCTCCCCTTCTCCTCCTCCTCCTCCCTCCTCCTCCTCCTCCTCCTCCCTTCTCCTCCTCCTCCTCTCCTCCTCCTGCTTCTCCTCCTCCTCCTCCTCCCTTCTCCTCCTCCTGCTCCTCTTCCTCCTCCTCCTCCTCCTCCCTCCTCCTCCTCCCCCTCCTCTCCTCCTCCTCCTCCTCCCTTCCCTCCTCCTCCTCCTCCTCCTCCCCTCCCTTCTCCTCTCCTCCTCCTCCTTCTCCTCCTCCTCCTCCTCCTCCTCCTCCTCCTCCTCACTTCTCCTCCTCCTCCTCCCTCCTGCTCCTCCTCCTCCTGCTCCTCCTCCTCCTCCTCCAACCCCACATCCATCCGGAGGGGCCGGATTTGGTTTCCCAGCACACAATGGCCTCTGTCTGGCGCAGTGGGGAATGGCCCTTCCTCTCTCAGCCAGACCGGCCCCCGCCCAGGAACACGGGGAGAACCGGAGACAAACGCTGAAGCCGGAGGCTGTGGCTCTGACCACGCCGCAGCCTCTCTGGGGTGACGGGATCCGGGCTGGCTCCTGAGCTCCGGCTGGGCTGTGCTCAGGAAGTGCCTTAGGCTTCCCGGGGATGGGCAACCGCCCAGTAAGACAGGGTCAGGCTGGGAGTCCCTGGGGAGCAGGCAGGGTGACTTCCCAGGCAGCGGCTCCCTGCTCAGGGGCTCCCCTCAGTGCTCAGCGGGGCCCTCCAGGGGTCTGCTTAGCCACAGCCCGTGTCCCCTGGATCCGGGGGGGATTGAGGAGCAGGTCTGAGCTCCAGCGCAGGAAGAAAAGTAAACTGAGTTTGGTTTGTTTTTTTGCTGCTACTCCCTCTGCCTATATCACCCTTCCACCCCTTGCTTTGTTTTTTGTTTATTATTTTATTTTATTTTATTGATTATGGTATCACATCATTGTCCTCATCCCCCCGTTCCCATCCCAAACCCCTCCCCACAGATGCCCCCACCCCCCTGTTGGCCATGGCCTCTGGCTAGGCCCATATGCATGCACACAAGTCCTTTGGTTGATCTCTCCCCCTTTACCCCCACCCTCCCCTACCTTCCCTCTGAGGTTTGACAGTCTGATCGCTGCTTCTCTCTCTCTCTGGGTCTGTTTTTGCTCATCAGTGTATGTTGGTCAGTATTTCCTCTAGATGAGTGCACCCCTTGCCTCGTTCACTCCCTCTCATTCTGGCTTAGATGCCCCCTCCTCCCGGCCCCTCGCCAGCCTCTCTTCCTCAGTCTCCTGAGTTCCCTGACAATAACGATTGCTCGCAATTAACAAGAAGCACCTGTCATGTGCCAGGCACCGCTCCAAGCACTGGACTCGCCACCCTACGAGGTGGGCACTATTATTATTATTCCATGTCCCAGGCGGGAAGACACAGGCCCAGAGAGGTGGAGTCAGTTGCTCGGGTCACACAGCCAGGATTCCAGCCCTGATTCTTGAGTCTGAGTTCTCTGCTGGGCTCTACTGCTTTTTTGATGAATGAATGAATGAATGGATGGATGAATAAACGAATGAAGCCCTTGGTGGAGGACAGCAGGGCCTCACTCCTACTTAGAGCCCCTCCAATCTACCCCCACAATTGCAGGGCCGTTACCCACGAAGAGCCTTTTACGGGCTCACATCTGGCTGGGCACCGTGGGGAGTGAGCCACGGAGGGAGACAGTGGCTGGGGGCCATGTGTGGGCTGTGGCCGGGCCAGGGTGGGGGGAGAGTGGGCTTGAGGTTGGGGGCTGGGGGGTTCTGTTGTTCCCAGGGATCCAGGAATCTGCCAGGGCCTGAACAGGCCCCTACTGTCCCAGGGCTTATAAAAACCACAGCTGCCCTCAGCCTGGAGTCCGTCCCAGGGCCAGGCCTGGGCTCCGTAAAGGGGGAGAGAGGAGGGAGTCAGCCAAGCTACCCTGAGACGTGGGCCCCAGCTCAGTGTGGGAATGGGGGCTTCTGGGTAGTGGATGGGGGTGGGGGTCCTGAAGAGCCAGCCCCCTTCCCCGCACCCTGCCCCGCTCCGATCAGTCAGCCTTAGGGGCTGGGCATTCGCTGGCTGGGAGTCAGGTATGTATCAATATTTCACTCCTTTTTACTGCTGAGTCGTAGCCCCTTGTATGGATGTATTACAACTTGTCGGTTCACCTGCTGATGGACATTTGGTGGTGTCCAGCTTGGAGCTACTACAAAAAAAACCTGCTATGAACTATGGATGTTAGGTTGCTTCTCCCTCACGACTTTGTTCAGGAGATGGTCATTATTTCTCCCCATTTTACAGGTGAGAGAAACAGAGAACCAGAGAGGTCAAGTACCTTGCCCAAGGACACACAGCCAGTAGTTGGAGCATAGGACCTTAAACAGCGGGAATATCTGAGCTAAGTGACTTAGGGGAACCTCTACAGTTCAGGGGGTCTCAGAGCCTCTAATCGAGACCAGCCCCTCAGTCCATAAGAGGGCATGTGAAGGCCAGATAGGAGCTGGGAGAGTCAGGGTTCAGAGCTGGCGAGAATCGGGGTCTTTGGTGGGCAGCCTGGCACTGTGTCCAGCCCTGCTCTGCCTCATCCTGGCTCTTCCCTGGGTGTGGAGGAAGGATCGGGCCTGTCTGGGGTGGGACAGGGATTTGCCCTTTTTCATTTTATTTTTTTTTCCAGGAAGTTTCATTTCAGGATTCCTCCGGCTGCTCAGAAATAAATAGCAGGAAGGATTTGGCACTGGCTCCGGGGCCGGGAGGTTTCCCCACAGCTGCGCCCCTCTCCCCGGGCCGGCCCAGGGTTTATGGAAGCAGCTGCAACGGATAAAATAGCCCTGCTCATAAATCTGCCCCTGCCAGGGGCCCTGATGCCTGAGGCCAATGTGCTGCCCGGCACAGACCCCACCACCCACGGGGGCCCTGCAGGACGCTTGAGGGGTGCCCCGCAAGGCTGGAGGGTCCAGGTCTAGGAGGGGCCCCCTGGGGGCATCTCCCTTGGGGTTTGGAGAGCCAGACTCAGCTTGAGGGTCTGGAGAGGAAAAAGGAGCAATAGGATTGGAAGGGGGTCAGTGACCGGTCACAGTAGCGGAGGAGGAGGGATAAGGAACCAGGAGACCCCAGGAGGCCCTTCCTAGCTGTGTGGCTTGGGGCAGGTCAGCTTACCTCTCTGAGCTATGGGTTCCTCCCTTGTGAAGCTAGGGCCACAGCCCTTGCCTCGTCCCTGGGACCCTCTAGGATGCTGAGGGGTTACTAGATGCAAACGTACTTTATTTATAGTGTGCAGGGTAGTGTAGCAGGGTGGTTAGGGGTTCAGGCTTGGATATTATCCACCTGCTACAGAGCAACACACACAAGCTCAGAGAGGTGAAGTGACTCGCCCAAGGTCACACAGCCAGAAAGTATCTGAGCTGGGCTTTGAGCCCCCTGGGGCTATGGATCCCCCATAGCCAACAGGACTGCTCCACGCTGCCTGCAGTCCTATTCATGAATGAATGACTCATTCATTCGAATGAGTGCATGAATGCAGGATAAGGTGTAGAAGAAGGGGCACAAGGTCATTGTGTTCCAGCTTCCACGTGGCCTCACAGCTCAGCGGGCTCAGGTGTCTTCACTGCTGCCAGGTGCTGCACGCCTTGCGCCTCACGTGGTCTGCACGGCGGCCGGAAGTGCTGCCAAGAGGGCTTGGACCATAAGCCTCCGCGCGGCTAAGGCTCTTCCGGTTGACAAACAGCGCATGCGCAGCATCTCTGTGTGCAGCTAAGGCTCTTCCGGTTGACAAACAGCGCATGCGCAGCATCTCCGTGTGCGGCTAAGGCTCTTCCGGTTCACACACAGCGCATGCGCTGCATCTCTACTCACTCCGCACTGAATGCCTGCCCTGGGCACCGCGACCCACGACCCACCGACCCACCCGACCGGAGCCCGAGGCCACGTGGCCGTGGCCGGCGAATGACCCAGCCAGTGTGCGGGACCCCAGCGCCAGTGGCCCTGCCCCAGGTGCCGCCTGCAGGAGACACCCCGGGTTCCACGTGGTCTGGCGGCCACGCCAGGGCCCTGGGCTCTCCGGAGGCGGGAAGGTGGAGATGGGGCCGGGGAGACCCTGGCCTTGCGCCTGGAGCCTGCGCTGGAGACCCGCTCAGCCTCCTCTCGGGCCCGGCTGCCTGGCCGGTCAGCCACCGGCAAAGGGAAGACGGAGGTGTTGCTCTGGATGGCAGCGGGTGGGCCTCAGACTGTGTGTCTGTGTGAGGTGTGGGCCCCCGGGGACAGAACCGCGGGATGCCCTGTCCCTAAACCAGGGGTCGGCAAACTGCGGCTCTTCGGTCCCTTGAGTGCGGCTCTTCCACGGCCCCGGCGAGTCTATG